CCTCTAGTAGATTGTTAGTGATTAGAGGATACCAAGATGTAAATAAGGTTTTAGGGGCAAGACCTTATAATTATAAAATGAATAGTTTTGCTCTAGTTATAAAAAAAAATGTCTATAGCGAACTGAGGATGTTTACCATCCAAAGCTAAAAAAGAGAATAGAACGGTCTTTATGAAAGAACATTACATTTATGATATAATTACAACCTTGTGGCTCAAATAAAGTCAACAGAAAGAAGGTGCAGTGGCTTTAGACAACAAACTACCCCTAGTAAACATAGCATTCTTACTCTATTATATCAGATTGTAAATGTGCCAACAGAGTTTTTACATCACCTAATTCTGTTGGAACAGACAGGATCAGATGGCCCCTGGAAGGTCTATGGGTAACCACAGACATCAACAAGCAACATTAGAAGACTAGACGTAGGTGAAAAAGCTATTGTCCAGGATGGATTATGTCCCCTCTGTGTAAATGGGTTTTCTATAGTGTATACAAGTGGGCAAGACTCGCAAAATAATGTGTATATTTATGGAAATTATTGTTTGTTTTTTTTTAGAAAATCAAAGTTTTCAGTTTGTGTTACAATATGAATAGAGATTTGTCAAAAAATTGTAGAGAATGACTGTGACTGGACACTATGCATGTACACAACAGTAAAATTGGACCATTTGGCCAAACTTGCCTGATTTATCAATTACATTTTTTCATCTATATCTACAGAAAATACATTAATAGCGCAATTGTATTGCTAATAATGATTCAGCCATCCTCTTAAGTTTTTATGGTTGGTTAATGTAAGAAAGGGACACATTAAGCTAATTTTTTTTTCTTTTTGCATTGCTTTTCTCCGAAACGTTCCAGGGTGACTTGCATTTTTGTTGTATCAGTAATGACTTTTTATCTTTATTTAGACCGGCATTATCAAACCCTACGTTTTCCTATCTCTGTGAATTGCAGTTCTCCCTTATTTCCCCGTTGCGTCCTGTTCGATTTTGCCTTCTTCCTTGCTCTCATTCCTTCTCTTTCTTCTCTCTGCCTTCCATCCCTCGTCCACCCCCCCTTCTCTGTGCTCAGCTTTCTCTCACTGAGCAGTAAAACTGATTAACCCCAGGTCACCCCCCTCCCTCTCTTTCTCGCTCCCTATTGCTTCTGGCTCTTCTCTCTTCTGATTTACACGCTGCGTTCCGCTCACTACATTTGCATATGGTTATTGCGATTTTATTCTACACCAGGATTTTTATTTTAAAGGAACAACCGCATGAAAAAAAATGAGCCTTGGGGGCTAGGACAGAAATGCAGTGATTTCAGGAGAAAAAAATTAAAATAGGTGCACATACAGGAATTAAATAGTTAAGTCATTTGAGAGGTTATGTTTGCTATAAAATGTTGATCTTTTAATGTTTTTTTTTTTTTACAAACTGGGCTACTGGGGGGAAAATTATTCTGCTGCATTTTGGTACAGAATTGGTTAATGTGCTCACAAAACCATGCATGCTTATGTAGTTTGGAGGTTATAAATCTGCCATCTTTTCATGTCTAGGGTGGATGATATTGGATTGTTGTTCCCTTCATTCATTTGTCATTTCTTAGGTGGTCAGAACAAGGTGAACCTCTCCACCATTTTCCATCCACCAAACATGCTTTCTTCTTGGCTGGCACTGATGGTAAAGAATTCAGCTTGCTTTAGGGACTCTGCAAGTATAAAGGAGTATAACATAGTTAAGTTAAAAGTCATGGTGAACAGAAAATGCAGAAAAAAAACAATTCCACTGCAGCTCAGAGAAATTGGTGTTGACTGGTAGAATCTGTATATTACACATAATGCGGAGGGTATGTAAAGCAGAAAGTCATTTCTGACAAGTTACTGTTCTGAAGATCATTACAGGAATCATAGGAAAGCACATAGTTAAGGAACTGAGACACAAAGAGAGAATAAAGTAGTAATGCATTGTACATAATATCATGGGAACTTAGCTAGCGCATGTACTATCTGGAAATTACGTTCCATGGCATAGGGTAACATTTGTGGTATACTAAAACACTATGGTACCTAATAAATGCGATTATAAATATGTGCAAAAAGGCAGAAGAGCTGATAGACAGTTTGCACCCCAAACATCTATTTCACTTGTATTTAAATGTTTTTTGGGGGGGGGAGGGGGGGGGTTAAATTGTCCTTTTGCTTCTTATATTTGACTAGCCATAGACATGATAGGACCATTACCTATTCCATCCAAAAACAATCAACCAAGAAATAATTTCATATCTGTTGAAACTCCATCACTTCTACAGACACCCCCTGGACAACTGACCTCAGTGAAACAATGGCGTCTTTCTCATAAGGGAAGGATTTTCCCAGTGATATCTGCTCACTGTATAAGCACAGGTACTCAGCCATTTTAAGTCTATGGCTGGTCGATCTTTTGGGTAGAGATCTTGCTGCCACTGTTTTGAGCTTTACTTGCTGTGTCCATTAAAAGTAAGTCTTGCTTACCCTGTGGGACTGTTTAGTAATGCTGCATACAGGAAACTGTTAAGAAACCAAACACTTGTCAATAAGAAGTCCCTGATGCCAGCCACAATTCTAAGACTCACATACTCTACCCTAGATCTGATCCTGTGGCATACTTTGCAGTGAAACTAAAAAGGCACAACTTCACTGCCTTGAAACAGCCATATAGCCTGTAAGTCCATGTGAGTAGAACATGATGGGACCAGTCATTCCCCGATTCATGTGATGCCTTCTACCACAAGGGAAGTGAATTACTAGATGGGTTCTGCTTCACTATGCAGTAACTAGTATGAGTTTAGAAATATTAATTTCCTTAAAAACCCTAATCACACAAGGGTTCATTTTGTGACATATTTCAATCAAAAATACTCATTGAAACTCCTTAAGTGAGACGACTCCTGCTGCAGCGGTAGTATACCTTCATGACTGAACTCCATCATACAAATCTCACCATTGAAGTATTAAAACATGAAAAACGAATGGGTGACTCAACCAACAGTATGTCAATACATAACCAATAGATTTTTTGGATTGACCACTTAAAACCAATTTAAATGCACATGACAATAAAGCAGATTTAGGTGGTGTATTTATGAAAATTTTCACACAAGATTCACACAGGATTGATACATTTTTCACATTTAGACTCCACGACTTCTACAGCTTCTCCCATGACTCTTCTCTGCACATTAGCCAGGGAGTTTTCTAACAGATTTTAAAATGAATCAAACAAATAAAAAAAATGGCAAAAAGTTATCTACCACTTCCAAAGAAAGAAAAAAAAAAAAAAGGTGAGACACTGTAGAATTCTTCGTAGGTAAAACTTTATTGGTCTGAACAAATGACATAAAGCCCCCATCAACAATGGGTTTAATCGTACAAACAACATTTGATCTGGAGATTACCACCTATATAAAAGGGACACTGAACATGTTATACAACAAACTGAGTCAGACTTGGAATGTTAATCTTAAATGATTGATAGTGAGGTCTTCTCTACATATTCATGTATCCCTCATAGGTTATGTCTACAACATCATTTGGACTATTAAGCTGGGCATAGACGGATTCCTCCATCCAAACAAGCAAGGTGGAATGAAGAATCCTTGCCCACCACCATCACTACCACTGGGACATTGTATTCTGACACGGGCTCCCGCTGCTCTCAGAATACATTGATCAGCAGCTGCAGCCACTGACCGAATAAAGTTTACAGCATGTCCATTTGACAGAAGTTGATCTAACATCTGATTTCTGTCGATCAGGGAGGGCTGCACACAGATCGAAATTTGCCAGGTCCCTGCTGAGTCATCAAAATTTTAATCCGTCTATGCCTAACATTACACTAAATCTTAAAAAGCTTTGGGATATTTTAGTTTGGAAGGTGTACATTTTTTGCTAACTTACAATTTTTTTCTGTTTGGGGGTAGGTATCCCCAGAGGTTTGCCCCCACCTAGGGTCTCTAAAATTAAGTCCAATCTTAGCTAAAATGTGTCAGGACCAGAAGGTCCCAGGCAGAGTTTTATGCCATTTGCCAAGAACAATATAGTTTAACCTACAAGGGATTTTACAGTGTGCACTGTTTTCTTTTGACTTAAAGAGAGCATAAAAATTGCTACTGTGTAAAAATTCTGATGCTTATTTTACATGTTTATGGACCTCACACAACATATAAAAAAGGAGTAACAGAGGTTATTTTTACAAAGTAAAAAAAAAAAAATGTTTTTGATGCACAATCTCATAACGCCACCTAAACAGTGGGATGTATCACATCTTTGAGGCCAGTTAGAGGACAACACTTTGAACTTATTTTACAAGACCACGAAAAACATGTATGGTATGAAAGTTCATAGCAATTAATCAGGATTCTTCTTTCACCAATTTGACCACATAAAACAAAACCCTGAGCTATTGACCACTGCACTGTTGTTCTAAGTCTGTTAGCATAAAAATGATAGAATAAATAAAAAATTAGACATGATACCTGCATGCCACATTGTCTGCCTGGGAGTACTCACAGCAAAACAGTAACAGTAATATGGTAGTAGGTACTCATATGACTTGAAGCATGAGGGTTAATATAGATGTTGCAATGCGCAGCTGTTGACCTTTCTCAAAGCCATAAACCTATACACACACAAGGTAATAAAAGTGATAAAAACTTTAACCCAACTCCAGCCATAACTAACCACCACACTCACCTACACCCTGCAGTGTCCATGCTCAATGCAACCCCAAAACAAAGAAAGCTATCCATGTAATAAGCGATAGTTTATATGGTCTACAGTTTATGTTGACTCGACGTTCTACTTTCTTGACAAGATTGTTTAACCACTTGCTTAATGGGCACCCCCTTCCTGCCCAGGCCAATTTTCAGCTTTCAGCGCTTTGCACTCTGAATGACAATTGTGTAGTCATGCAACACTGTACCCATATGAAATTGTTAGCATTATTTTTTAGACAGAGCTTCATTTGGTGGTATTTAATCACCTCTGGGCTTTTTATGTTTTGCTAAACAAACCAAAAACAACCAAACATTTTGAAAAAAATTTTTTTTTTCTTAGTTTCTGTTATAAAATGTTGTAAATAAGTTATTTTTCTCCTTCACTGATGTGCGCTAATGAGGCTGCAGTGATGGGCACTGATGAGGAGGCACTGATGGGCATTGAAAGGTATCACTGATGGGCACTGATATGTGGCATTCATGTGCAGTGGTAGGCACTGATGTGGCACTGGCATGTGGCATTGATGGACACTGACAGGTGGCACTGATGGGGCTACACTGATCATCAGTGCCCTGTGTCCCCTCTGAGGAATGCCTGATTACCAGTTCTCCTCTCCTCGCAAGCTGTCAACGTGACAGCTCGTGAGTAAAAAATTCCGATAACCGGCATGTCCTTATTTACCTGCGATCAGCTGTGATTGGACACAGCTGATCACATGACAGAGCCGACGTCTTCGGCTCTTTCCGTTGATCGGTGATCCGCGGTGTCACATTGTACAGGCGCGATTAGAGTGGGAGGACGTCATATGACGTCCTCCCAGAACGAGAGAACCGCCTTCCTTAACTGGCGGGTGGGAGGCAGTTAAATAGCACTATTTGTTTTCCTAGTTTTGGGGTTGCATGGAGTGTGTACACAGCAGGAAGTAGGTGGGTATGTGAGCGTGTTTGAAGCTTTGAGAAAGTTGGGCTGTGCCCAACTGAAACATATTGGGGATGATTTTGGAGACTGCAAAATATGGTGCAGCTGTGCATAGAACCAATCAGCTTCCAGGTTTTATTGTCAAAGCTTGAACAAGCTGAAGTTAGAAGCTGAGTGGCTACCATGCACAGCTGCACCAGAATATGCACTCTCCAGTTTTAGAAAACCAACCCCTCTATGTATTTAATACATTAAAAATGGTTTCCCGAGATCTATGGGTTGTCTAAAGACCCATATGTGCAAAGTAGATCCCTCAGCAGTTCCCTTTTTCTAAAACCTGAGCCCCGTGCCTTATTGTGATTCATTCCAGTTCTGTACACAACAGGCTTCTCTCATCACAGCTAAAAAGTAATCATGTTGTCCATGTGGAAAGGAACCTAGAGCTCTACTTGCTGTCTGGATAGAGGACTACATAAAATATTATGCAACACTGTATATTACCCAGGCTGAAAAAACTATTTAAAATTGTCTTTTTTAGGCCTGACCCTAATAAACAAACATACAAAAACACACATCCCCACAAACATCACCTTTACAGAAAACCTGTACAGAAATATGAAAACTACCATTGCTGACCCTCTTTTGAAAAATGTCTCCCTGTCTAAGGCTGCAATGCTTTTTAATCACTAAGCTGGAACAAGCTTTCAGATCAAAAAAGTTAGAGAAGCCAGAACCCTTGGTCAGCATGCCAGGCAGAAACTAATATTTCCTGGGCCCCATACTACAATCAGCATGGAAGTAAAAATAAAACCTTACTGATATATGTAATGTTCTGATGGATGGTATCCAAGGCATTATGTGAAAAGGTAGATTGTATAAACCAAGTACTGTGCTTTATGTATCTAAATCAAATACTGGTGAAGCGCTTCATATATGATATAACAAATCAAATATCATACAACCTCATATCATAACACTGCAAAAAAAATAAAAAATTATATATATATACACATACACACACCACTCAAAAAAATTAAAGGAACACTTTTTAATCAGAGTATAGCTTCAAGTCAGTTAAACTCCTGGGATATTGATCTGGTTAGTTAAGTAGCAGAGGGGGTTGTTAGTCATGTTTAGCTGCTTTCATGTTAATGAAATTAACAACAGGTGCACTAAATGGGCAACAATGAGACGACTCCCAAAACAGGAATGGTTTTACAGGTGGAGGCCAGACATTCATTTTCCTACTCATCTTTTTTCTGACTGTTTTTCCACTAGTTTTGCATTTGGTTAGGGTCAGTGTCACTACTGGTAGCATGAGGCGATACCTGGACCCTACAGAGTTGCACAGGCAGTCCAACTCCTCCAGGGAGGCACATCAATATGTGCCATTGCCAGAAGACCGGTATCTGCTCCTTTGTGCAAGGAGGAACAAGATGAGCACTGCCAGAGCCCTACAAAATGATATCCAGCAGGCCACTGGTGTGAAGGTCTCTAAGCAAACAATCATAAACTTCAGGAGGGTGGCCTGAAGGCCCGACGTCCTCTAGTGGGCACTGTGACAGACGTGAAAGGGTCTGGAGAAGTCGTGGAGAACATTTTGCTGCCCGTGACGTCATTCAGCATGACCGTTTTGGTGGTGGGGCAGTGATGGTCTGGGGAGGCATATCCATTGAGGGACTCACAGACTTCTACAGGCTAGACAGTGACACCCTGACTGCCATTAAGTATCGGGATGAAATCCTTGGACCCATTGTCAGACCCTATGCTGGTGCAGTGGGTCCTGGGTTCCTCCTGGTGCACGGCAATGCCTGGCCTCATGTGGCGAGAGTATGCAGGCAGTTCCTGGAGGATGAAGGATTAATACCAATGAAGGGCTCCCACGCTTGCCTGACCTAAATTCAATAGAACACCTCTGGGATATCATTTGTCAGTCCATCTGACGCTGCTAGGTTGCACCTCAGACTATCCAGGAACTCAGGGATGCCAGATCTGGGGGCCATACAAATTAATGAGTGCCATTTTGAGTTGCTGCAATGAAATTTCAGCGAAATGGATTAGCCTGCTGCATCATTTTTTCACTTTGATTTTCGAGGTGTCTTTGAATTCAGTCCTCTGTAGGTTGATAATTTTAATTTCCATCAAACAATAGGGCATCGTTACAATTTTAACACATTACCCAGTCCATATCAGTATAGATATCCAGCATGATATTTTCCCCATTGAGATCTGATGTGTTTTCAAAGTTCCTTTAATTTCCTTGAACAGTGTATATACATACAGTTAAGCTCTTAACGCATAAAAAAACAAAAACGTATAGTCCAATGTAAGCGTCCCATACACCAATCAATCTTTATTCAATTGTCAATCGATATATTCATTCTTGTCAGAACAACAATATGACTTTCTTCAGCATGAACAAACACCACCGTGACCCTCACCACATCTCATGGGTATCTCCTCACCTTATATCATGGACCCCACTGCAAAAGGAGGGTCAATTGTGCTTTAAAATTAGAGACCACGAACTTCAGCATTCACCTGGTCATTACTGATCTCCCAGGAATAGATATATTAAAAAGAAGCAAAGAAACATCCAATAGTGCAGACATAGTTACATAGTTAGTCTGGCTGAACAAACACAAAAGTCCATCCAGCTCAACCATAGAAATAAAAGTTATAATCCTACACCCAGAGTTGATCCAGAGGAAGGCAAAAAAAAAAACCCCCAGCAAAGCATGATCCAATTTGCTCCTGCTTGAAAAAAAAATTCCTTCCTGAACCCCCCAGAAGCAATCGGATATTCCCTGGATCAACTTTACCTATAAATGTTAGATTACAGTTATATTCTGTGCATCTATGAAACAATCCAGGCCTTTTTTGAAGCAATCCACTGAGCTGGCCAGAACCAACTCTTGAGGGAGTCTATTTCACATTTCCACAGCTCTCACTGTGAAGAAACCTTTCCGTGTTTGGAGAATAAATTTCTTTTCCTCCAGACGTAAAGAGTGCCCCCTTGTCCTCGGTGATGACCTCAAGGTGAATAACTCTACACCGAGTTCACTATATGAACCACTGATGTATTTATACATGTTGATCATATCCCCCCTTAATATCCTCTTCTCAAGAAAGAATAAATTCAGTTCCTCTAATATTTCCTCATAGCTGATCTCCTCCATGCCTCGTATCAGTCTAGTTGCCCTTCTCTGTACTTTCTCCAGTTCCCCAATGTTCTTTTTGTGGATTGGTGCCCAAAACTGAACTGCATATCCCAGATGAGGTGTTACTAATGAGGGAAAAGGATGACAAGATCCTTGCATGATAGGCAGAGGAAAAAATATACCACAACCCAGATTGCAAAGCACCAGAACAACATAAGGGCGCACAGGAACTCATCCACCTAAACACCTTTAAATGTCCCTGGGTTAGACAGAGGACAACTACAACCCTGTCTACCTCAACCCAAAGAGCATGGTTTTAGGAAACATCTGGCCTGGCTCGGCCCGACCCAACATAGCATAGTCAGCTAAGGAGCAAGGGGCAGAGAGATTTGCTAAAAATGTTCACCTGATTAGGGAAAGAAGGAAGGATTCTGGTGTAACTTCCTCCATAGGCTGCACATCAGTCACTGAAGTCACTAGTTTCCAATGATCAATGAGGAACCAGATTGAAACCCCAGAAATTTGGGGGGGGGGGGGGGGGTGGAGAGGATCTTATTGCTCGGCAGTGAGGATGTCATGAAAAACACTAGGATGGACCTAACAGGGGTGTGAAAATTAAAAAAAAACAAAAAAAAAAAACACTTGCCCAAGGGACTAAATCGGGGTCCCAATTTACTTGGGGTCCCAATTTACTTGCTGAGCAGTCAAATCAAGTTCTGGTGTCTGCTACATTAACCACTTAAAACCAAGCTTTTTCTGGCACTTTTTGTTTACATGTAACAATCAGCAATCTTTTGCTAGACAATTTCTTAGAACCCACGGCACCACAGTATTTGCACAGCAGATTCTCAAATTTAATTTTTTTTAAAAGATACAATTTTGGATTTTAATGAAAAAAACAAAACAAACTACAATACATAACCCAATTATTGGTAAAATATAAAAGATGATGTTACACTAAGTAAATAGATACCAAACATGTCACTCTTTAAAACTGCACATGCCCATGCAATGGCGACAATTTAAAAGCCTTTGCATATTACCTTTTTAGATTTACAGAGGAGTTCTGGTGCTAGAATTACTGCCCATGATCTTCAATTCACGGTGGTATCCCACATGTGTGGGACAATCTTTGTTTGCATGCATGACCGACAAGTGCCAGCAGGTATGTAAACATCCCTTGTGACAGCAATAGGCATGTGAAAGGTACTCCTTATGGAGAGATCAGGAGTCTGTAAGACCCCAGATCCCTCCTCTGCCCTTAAAAGCATTTGATCACACCAAGATATGCTTTTCATTTTTAAAAATGGCGCCATTTACATCTGGGTAAACTGGAAGTGATGTAAGGTCATTGCTTCAAGTTCCCTAATATCAATAGAGGTGAAAAGAATGGTTCCGGTGTTTGTCTCTATGATCAGTTGGCAGAAGTGTCGGCTGGTCGATCGGGTGCCACAGTGGA